CCACTTTTTATTAGTATCAAGTAGCAACAATACAGCCATCGATCAACACAGTGGCGGGAGTGCAACAGCCACTCGTTCGCGTTCGGTTTCGCTCTTGCATACAAATATTTGCAAAATATGCAAAATATTCGGCCCTTAACTGAATAAACTTCCTGGGCACATAGAAATGCGCCACGCATCTTCCGCTTCTCTTCACGTCACACAGCAGCTAAACAGAATTCTGGTTTTGATTCTGCAGAATATAATTAATTTTTCTTGACGTATTAACAAATGGAAAGCAATTTACTGGCAAGAAAATTTTTTTAAATAATTTTATAATTTTTTTAAATAATTTTTTTTTTAGTTACCTTCGTCTGGTCAGCGTCCACTCTTTTGCTCTAGTCAGTGTGGCCACATTTCGCTTTTGCATTTGGTGTTAATGAATCTAGCACACAGCCTATTCGGTTCGGCATTCTTAGAAACACCGACATTGCTGCAGAATCAGCATCAACCAGTATCCTTACTACAAAATTCACGAGACAGAAATTTTAATCGCTGATCACTTGTTCTTACCTTCATCTAGTAATATTGTGCAAGTTTTTACTTTTTCTGCTGTGAAATAAGGTGTACAGGTGATATTTTTTGACCACTGCGCAAACCTTCGTTTTTATGCGTTTTGTGCTGTGCAACTGTATAAAGATTGTATTGCCACGGGGCCATCTGTGTGTGTATGTTCGTCTGCCGGGTGTTTTTTATTCTCAACAGCTACGCAATCTTTGAAGCTGAAATTTGTTCCCAGGCCAGGCGCGATTCCTTGAGCGTGACATCAATTGTCACGCACGCCTACGTCTCAAGTACGGACCGAAACGTCTTATTTCACTCTTGCCTTCTCTACTACACTATTTTTTCTTTCTAAATTCCATCGCACTTTTGCCATCTGCGCTTTCAAGGTCAACCTGAATGCTGCAATCTGTTTACTCGCAATTCGAGTGAAATGTTGAAGTGCGATTGAAAATAATGAAATAATACTACTTTTGAGATTGTCAACG